CAGAATGGGCCCATGCACTCAGACCTACAGGTCCATTGTGGACACCCTCTCACCGAAGTCCTGTTTCACATAGTTTGTCATGCCCATGTCCTGCTTAGTTAATAACCTTCTAAGTTGAATAGTCCTGATTCCTTTATAAAGCTCAGTAACTCTTTAATCCCAGTATCCTTGATTTCATCCTGTCTAGGAAAATGTCTACCAAAGATACTTTGCCTTAGGGTAGCAAGGGAGTTACATTCACACATGATGTGGTATGACGTCTCCTCCTCTTCTCCACATTTCCTACACACTGGTGATTCTGTGATCCCCATGGTGTGTAGATGTTTGAGTAGATGCCCGTGGTCTGTTAATAGTCCAACTAGCATGCTCATTTGGTTCCTGTTCATATGTTTAAGATCCTTTAGTAACGTACCAGGAAGCTTGATGGACATCTTTGATTGCCTAGGTACTACTAGGTATCTCCATATTTTCCTATGTTCTTCCCTACTCCAGTTTTTCGGTATTGCTCTCAGTGTTTGCTCTGATAATCCTACCGCTGGTTCGGGACCAATGTAGGGTGATTCGGCTCCTTTCCTAGCTAGGAAGTCAGCTTGTTCATTCCCCAGTACACCATAGTGTCCTGGTACCCAAGCTAATTTTACCCTGTTGTTCCTAGCCAATGATTCCAGAGCTGTACGGCATTCTAGGACCAATTTTGAAGTTACTTGAGTTAGCAATTATTTGTTTTGGTTAATTTGACACATTTTGTTTATTCATGCGATTTGTACGTCTTAATTTCATAGTATATTATAATAATATAGTATCATAACTTACTAGAGTCTAGATCTATGAACTTGTCAACATTTATTGTGTTTTAAATAATAACATTGATATTAAATATCCATAATCAATGTGAATACCAAGATGGAGTTTTGCTCAAGTGACAAGTCTATAAAACCTAAAACCTTACTTATAAAATGTATGCACATCAAATATCAAAATTAAAGGTACTTATAATAATAATATGTTATTTAAAATAAATATTATTATAATTTGAATTATGCTTGATGATATTTTAATTAAAACTTTTATTTTTACAGTATTATGTCTTTGTTCTGAGAAACTTATAAATGTGTAGTTTTGTGTTTTAACATATTGGTATCTGAATTCAAAAAAAAAAAAATATATAATTTTTTATGAACAAATTGAATCTTCAATCATCGTTTACTGAATCAATAATAGGTAAGATAATGTATTTATTGATATAGGTGTATTGTTTAAGTACATTTTTTTATTAGAAAAATATAATTAATCTTTTTTTATTATTCATGAACATATAAAATGTTTTTACATAATACATTTTTTTGGATTACTTATGTTTATCATACTTAATATGTTTAATTATAATGCGTTACTTAAAAATTAACGTTTAACTTAAAAATTATCATACTTGTATAATTATAAAAAATATATGTGTATACTGCAATTTGTTGCTTAACCATATAACTATTTAAGTATCTAAGAAACTTATTTAATTTTTTTTAATTATATGTTTCAGTATGTTCAATATTAATATGGACTATCTCAACTTAAATTGATATTTGTTATTGTTTACAACTACACTACTACCAACGTCAAATTTGGTGTATTATATTATTGTAGTCAATCAGTCTAAACTAATTCCATCAATACATTGTCGAATGTTGTGGTATTCAATTTTCAATAAATTTATAGGTGTTTTATTTTAAGGTAAAATATATAAGATTGCAATAATTTAGTTAATTTCTATGAATTCATCACTAACAATTTATTATTATTATTATTTTTTTTTTTGTTACTGTGGCACACTATTGCAGATAACGGGTTTCCATTAAGTCAGTAAGAAGAATAAGATGGATTCACAAGTTCAAATCAAATATTAGACAACTATATATATTTATTTATTCAGCTAAAAATGTAATTCAATAAAATAATTTAAAAGTACTTTATCATTTTAAAAGTGACATAAAGTTTTTAAACTCTAAGTGTTTAAACACACATATACTTAACATATCTATAATTATTATACATTATTTATTAATTATTAATGATGAATTCTTTATTTAATATTAATTTAATCTAAAATGCTGCTGAGAATGTTAATATTTCTAAAATATGTTATTGTCTTAATCCAAATCTTGAAATTATTTTCATGATGGCATAGTTTTGGCATTAGCTATTACAGAATTTATTGACAATTTTCTAGTGGGTTTACGATTAAGTTTTTATAAGTAATAAAGTAAATAAAATTATAAAACACAAAATAGAAAAAAAAAATGTTAACTATTGGATTAAGTGTAAAAAAGTAAATTGAATGAATATACTTATAAATATTTTTTAACTTAAATATGTAAATGGAGATGGATTTCTTCTAGTGGGAAATCATCAAACAAACTTTACCGCCCTAGGTAACTTCCTATAACTACATCACTATATACAGCAATATGTTGTACCTCTATTATTTACAAGTTAATTATAGATATGTTAATTTTATTTAGTCTTAGTTTTTAATATGATTTAGCAAATAAAAATGTTTATTCGTATCTTATAAGCGTATTATTTATCTTGTTACTTGTTTTTTTATTTTACTATTATGATAATAAACATAACATAATATAGTATTTAAATGTTTGTTAGTAATATTATTATTGAACTTTAAGCTTATGACTGTTAAAAAAGCCGTACAAAAACAAAAAAAATTGTACTTTATCATTGTCACTCTAAATTTTTGCTTATACCTCATACAACGAGAAAAACAACCATTTATTAAATAAGAAATATACTTTTACTGTTCATATGAACACATTAAAATAAGTAAGAATAGTCAATACTATGAAATATATACAGTATAGGTTTAAGGTGGTAATATAATAAAGAGTTAATAAATAAATACAGCTTTTAATAATTAAAAATACTGAACTAGAAATAGTTAAAATTGACGCGTTACAACTTTAAATTATAAAAATGAAAATTTATTTTAGTGCACAAGTATTGGATGAACGTATTTCTTATGGAATCCTTTGTTATCTAAACATTTTAATAAACACAATAGATGCCTTATAAAGATGTTGTTTGACATCTTATGTACCTATCATAAACCAGTTCGAACAAATGCTAAAATAGTTTCTGTACATATTAAGTTTAGTTTTTGTTTATTCGTTGTAAAACTTATAAAAGCATCTCATATAAGCTAATATTATATTATTGTAGTACTAAGCTATAACTTTAAAAGTATAAAAAAAAAAAAATTAAAAAAGTCTAATATCTTCTAAGATATTGAGTGGTCCATAGTTAACCAATCACCCGGTATTTCAATCGTGGTTTTAATATTTTGTCCACTACAATAAATGTGGCAGTCGTCAGCAAAAAGTAGGTGTTTTGTAGGTTTTGGTATTTCTTTAAATATATTATTAATAGCTAGTAAAAACATTGTTACGCTGATCACTGAACACCGGGGGGAAGGCCGTTTTCGGTTAGGTAGGTGTTTTATAATTCATTGTGAGCTTTAACTTGTATTGTACGGCTTTTTAAGAAGTTTTGGAGGAATATAAACATTTTACCATTTATGCCACATTCTTGAATGATTTTAAGGGCTCTGTTTCGCCATACCATATCGTATGCTTTTTCTTGGTCTAAGGCTATTAATATTAAATGTTGTTTCTGATTTTTTGTGTTACAAATGTCATTGTGTAAGGAAGAGAGGGTATCGAGAGTTGAATAATTTCTTCAAAATCCACATTGTTCATTTGTTAGTATATTTGATGTCTCCAAGTGCCAAACAAAGCGCTTGTTTATTATTTTTCTAATGTTTTTCCTAGTGTATTGATAAGTGAAATGGGTCTGTAGTTAGAGTTATCGAATTTGTTCTTGTTTGGTTTTGGGATAGGTATAACAATTGCGTTGCGCCATTGGTCAGGGTATATGCCTTTTCCCCAAATTATATTATAAATCTGGAGAAGTATTTCGTGTCCTAGCTTTGGTAAATTTTGAATAAAAGTGTAAGGTATCCCATCTGGGCCTGGGCTTTTGCTTTTGCATCCAGATAATGCATTGCGTAATTCGGTTATATTGAAGGGTTGATTAATTGTGTTTTCCTATTATACTTCTATTTTAGTATATTGACAATATTTAAAACAAAATGCAACTAAAAATACCTTTTCATAGATACTTAAATTGTAAAGAGTGGAGCAGTGAAACTGGCGATTTTCCCATTTAAATACATTGGAAAATCCCTCGATTAACTGCCCCACCCTTATATTAATTTCTTGTTGTGTTCTAAAGAAGAATTAAAATTCTAACATTTAAATTAAAGTTAAATCTTATGCTGGAACTGTGATGGAGAAAACCGTATAAAAAACCAAATAAATATTCCTTATAAATTTCAAATCGATCCGACTCTTTTTCTCGAAATTATAGCCAGTAAAAGTTCTAACTTAAAAGCTAGTATGTTTTTTTTTGTTTTTTCCAATTAACTGTGAAAGAGTACCTTCACTGTTCTGCATCGAAGCTAAAATATGAAGGTTAACGAAACACAAATTTATCGAATTGAAGCGTTAAATATATTGGTCGCGCAATTAACAAACTAGTCTACTAGTAAACTAGTCACTTAGTCTATAGATGATTAAACCCTAGAAATAAAACCAAGGATTCAAAACTTAGCTTGGTTAAGTTCACTATTGTAATCATATTAAAGAAACACAATACAAGTAATAGAACGTCTAAAATAATAATATCAATGCGGGTGTGATTTGAAAGCCAAAAATTATGCTATAAAACATATAGCTTACAAACAGCTAAATAAATACATTTTGTTACGAGATGGATGAGTAAACAGGTAATACCTAAATTTGTTGTGTTTGTCAAGCGGCAAAACAACTACTATTTGTTTACGATTCGTAGGCTAAAGCCATGCTTATTTATTTTAGAATTGAATTTTAAAATAATCCGGACAAACAAAATACATATGCGTTTATACAATTCTTATACGCTTTACCACTGAATTCATTTTAACAGAAGCAATTAAACGAAGAAAAACCATTTAAGTTTTAAACACGGTAGAACAGTATTCGAATATTTTCGCATTTGAAAAAAAAATACAAACAATAATGAATTTTAAAAATTGTGTTATGCTTTTATACTTATTTGTCCATTTGTATACATCAAAAGCAAGAATTCGCAAAAATCCACAGGTAATCTTAGATTTATTCTTTTTAATTATTGAAAGCACATTAATTATAAAACAGTAGTATTCCATTGTTTATTAAAAATAGATATTTCATATTTATAGAAATTAGCCGAACTATATAGAAGTGTTTCAGAAGAACACCCTTTAGGTGTTAATTTGTTTGACGTAGAAAATTATATAAAAAAACCAAAGGTGCGCAAGGAATTTAGAATTTCTATATTGGATAAACAAAAGATACAAGAATCCCGGTTTGGTACGTTGAATAATAATAACTCATTAATAGATATTGTAAAATATATACATGTGAAATGTGAATACCTTTCCGTCTCTTTTATATTTGCAACTAAGCGTTATTGTTAATTTAATCGTTTGGTCATCAGTCTCGAGTCACCGAAAGCACTGCCCGCATTTATTTAAACATCATGTTACGTACATTGATGACGTGGTCATCATATAACACCTTACAGCATAATTTGGTTTGGTAATTTTTAATGTGAGTACTTTTATAATGATTTCTAGTTGGGGAAATTTCGGAAGAGCAATTTGTGGCAGTAATAACATCAAAGTTTACTTATTGGGTAATTATGATTTTTTCTATCCTAATATATGATATATTTAAAAAAACAATTATAATAATTAAATACTCTATGAACCTAGTGAATAATATAATTGTAATAATTCTAGATTCTAATTATTTCTTTAATAGTAGTTTTCACATTGTGTCTTAAAAACAGAAATTTTATGATTTTAGCAACTCGAAAAAATGTATATTAAAATCTCAAAAGCTGTAAAGGATGATTGCCTAGTAACCAAGGAAAGAGTAAAATGGTTTTTACTGAAGAAACGACTCCTATATAGACTAAGTAAAAAGGAAATCGAAGCGTTAGTTAAACCAATGAAGGGTAAAACGCTTTTATCTTTTTTTTCAACTAAATATGTTACAAAACTATTTTATGACAGTTAGACTGATTTTAATTTATATTGGAATATTAATTTAATGACATTGCTCATGATGTATTTTTTATACACGATTTTCAATGATTTAAAAACCAAGCAAGTGGACAGACACAATTATTGATTTTATATGGCTTGTCATAACACACGTTATTTGGCCATTGTACATAAAAAGGCAATAATAATAATTGCAACCACCCAAACTGTTACAGCATTTTATAGGTTGATAAATTTTAATGTGAATACCTTTTAAATGATTTCTAGATGATGCTATGACATTTGGCGAGTTTCATAATTTTGTGGTTTTCAAAGAAAATCATTTATTATATACATATATATAACACCAGCCGGTGGTAGATTTAAACGTTTACAGGACCCAGGTAAGTAATATGTTCACTCTCACCCTTTTTTTGTTTCTTCCCCAACTGAAGGATATTACATTTTATATCATTTTACATATTGCATTGTAAATTTGTTTTTATATCAATATTTCAGGGCTATAAATTTACTACAACATTCTATTGCCGTTCGCTGTAGTCAAAAAGTAAAATTTATTAAAGTATTCAATTAAGTTTATTTAAATAAAAATTCAAGGTTTATGTATTAATTCTTAAAACTCTAAGGGGTGTGTGTTTTTTTTTGTTTTAATCAATTATATGGGTATTTTGTAAATGTTATTATTAAATATTATTAAATGTTAAATAACTTGTTTTCTGCATATTATAATTATAAACTAACCTTAGCTGCTTAATCTTAGTTTCTATTAATAAATAAATAAATATATAAATCAAAATAGTAGTTAATTATTATTTATATTTAATTACTATTTGTTTGAATTGTAAATGTTATTTTTACATATCTATAGGTGTAGTAAAAAAGTAGAAAAATAATGTGCATGATTATTGTTAAAATAATGGAAAAAACAATTTCTGTAATAAACGCAAATACGTATAAGATTACTCATGTATAAATATGTCGGTTTAAAAAAAACAACAGAATCTATAGGAATGCCTAGAACACAAATAATACACATTTGTGTAAACAAGTAATACATTTTTTGTATTTGTCAGGTTAGGTTGCAAAACAATTACTGTTTCTATGATTCGTAGCCGTACTCAAGAAATACATTTATTGCACAATGTAATATAAATAAATGCATATAATTGCCTCATTTCGTTACAGTACTCCAAAAAATAAACAAAAACTGTCGGAATGCCTTCATATATTATAAAAGTCATATCAGATCATCTGATTTAAATATCCGTTGATTTAAACTCAGTTAAGATGGTAAATAGTCTTCAGAAATAAGTATACCTTTTTTTTTCCAAGTCAGAATTGTAGACGACCCCGAGACTTAGCCAATCGGCATTACTACAGGGCTGCCTACATCGTTTATTGTGACAAAATAGCATTACAATATATTATACAATGTACATGAATAATATAACAAAACACAATAAATGAAACACAATACAATAAATGAGAATGACTAAATATTGAAAAATAAAACTACTGATTTAGCCAGGGATCCTGCTGTCGTTACTTTCCAGCCTTGGCCTTCCGGAACGCCTCATATGGACTGCTGCCTGGATAATGGTCGAACCTCGTTCCGCATAGTTGATGAGCCATGGCCACAATGTGCTCGGCTATCTCCCCTGACTCTTTTGCACCATCCGCCTCCGTCGTAAGCCGAGAGACCTGCGCCAGCGCAAGGCGCAACCCAGCTTCAATGGCCACTTCATCATCCTCAAGGCCCTGAATGTCACCGGACCCAAAACTCGCTTCCAAGTTAGTGAGTTGTTCTTCTTCGACCCTCCGTCGCTTTCTCCATGGTTCCGCGACTACTACCGGAGATACCTCAGTAGAGGGCATCCTTAGGGCATCATCTTCGTCCGTTACTGAGTTAACACTAGTTCTGTCTACCTCATCTTTATTTAGGTGTTCCATCTCCAATCTAGCACTAGGCTTCCTTTTGGGTGATTTTTTAGCTTCTTCCGCTCTCTTCTTTTCGTGGTACAATCGTACCCGTTCTTGGTTGTGCATATCCGTCAGCTCTTGGTCTAGTGTCCAAATCTGAATCGTCAGTGCAGCATTTCGAGACGGTGGCAGAATCGCCTTCATTTATGAGCCTATTTTTCCTCTGTTCATCCAGCTTTTTTCAGATCTTCATTACCATGAATTCTACTTCATCGCACAAGCGGAATGTACCCAGTTGTCGCAGTCAGTCGAGTACATCCTCTTCTTTTGCTTTCTTATCTGCCTCTTCTTTTCTCCGTTCACGGTCGCTGGATGACAACCGGAGTGAGCCCGCTACGTTGATCCAGGTTTTACCCTATCATCCCCACTCACTTCTGCCGCCTCTTGGGTGGAATTCGAGAACCCTGGGTGAGTAACTTTGTCTTTTTTATAACTCTCCATGTTATGGTTTAAAGGGTGGCCTTCCCCTACGCTTTTGCCACAGCGCTAGGGGTGTGGTCCTTTATTATTGAACAAAGGCGGACCACGTGCCTGCCAGCCAGTTAAGGCAAGCCGTTTTGCTGGGACCGCTTGGCACGGACTCAATTAAGAGCCCGTGAGCCCTTCCACCACGACAAGGTGTGTTCCGCGGAAGGGAGAAATAAGTATACCTAAGTATAAGTAATTATATTATAAAAAATTTGCTTCGATGCCCATCTACAGGGGTCATATGAGGAATTACTAATTAAAAAAATATTTTTTCTTATTATGACACTTTAAGTGCTAGACTGGAGTGTAACTATAAAGTAATTGAGCAATTGCGTGAACAAATATATGAATACGTCTCTTAAAGTGTTAAACAGAATTTTCAGAAATTGAAATGAGAAATCTATTAAAATAGTTCGAATGTGGTGTATTGATAAAACTCGTATGAGATGAATTAAGATGACAAACCCTGAGAGACAAATACCCCTTATAGGTCTAAAGTTGTAGTATAAGCAGAAAAATATTTTACACGTGTATTGTTCAAATAGTAATAACTGGTTTTCGTATTGATCTAAAAATATATAAAGGTTACCTGTATACAAATATATTGGCTTGAAAAAAAACAACAGATATTATGTTACTAGTACACATTTTATAAAAACTATACCAAACTATCTGATTTTATATAATATAAAAATACTTCTTGATAGGATATTATTAAAAAAACATTTTTTACTTTCATAGATACTTAAATTGTAAAGGGTGGAGCAGTGAAACTGGCGATTTTTTGTTTGTGTCAAACCGCAAAACAACTACTGTTTCTATGATTCGTAGCCGAGAAAATATTTTTCATGTATCATAAATTTATTGGACAATGTAATATAAATAAATGCATATAATTGCTTCATTTGGTTACAGTACTCCTAAAAATAAACAGAAACTGTTGGAATGCCTACACATTTTATAAAAGTCATATCAGATCATCTGATTTAAATATACGTTAATTTAAACTCAGTTAAGATGGTAAATATATTATAACACTACAAGTGCTAGGCTGGAGTTGAGCAATAATGTAATTGAGTTATTGTGTACACAAATATATGAATACGGCTCTTAAAGTGTGAAACAAAATTTTTAGAAATTGAAATCTATTAAAATAATTTTAATTTGGTGTATTGATAAAACTCGTATGGGGTGAATTAAGATGGCAAACTCTGGGAGACAGATACCCCTTATAGGTCTAAAGTTGTAGTGCATAAGCGGAAAAATATTTTGCACGTGTATTGTTCAAATAATAATAACTTGTTTTCATATTGATCTAAAAAAATATGAAGGTTGCCTGCATACAAATATATTGGTTTGAAAAAAAAAACAACAGATATTATGTTACTAGTACACATTTTATAAAAACTGTACCAAACTATCTGATTTTATATAATATAAAAATACTTCTTGATAGGATATTATTAAAAAAAACATTTTTTACTTAAATCCAAAAATATATTTTAGTCCATGTATACCATGTATGATAATATTATTCCGGATATGAGTTTATAATATCGTTCCAAATGGCATAGCTAATTTTAGGAATGCCTACACATTTTATAAAAGTCATATCATATCATCTGATTTAAATATACGTTGATTTAAACTGAGTTATGATTGTAAATGGTATTCAGAAATAAGTATACCTAACTATAAGCCATTATATTATGAAAAATTCGCTCGATTCCCATCTACAGGGGTCATATTACTAATTCAAAACTATTTTTTTAAATTTATTATGATACTACAAGTGCTAGGCTGGAGTTGAGCAATAATGTAATTGAGTAATTGTGTATACAAATATATGAATACGGCTCTTAAAGTGTTAAACAGAATTTTAAGAAATTGAAATCTATTAAAATAGTTTGAATTTGGTGTAATGATAAAAGACGCCTGTTTATAAAGTTGTAGTATAAGCAGAAAAATATTTTACACGTGTATTGTTCAAATAGTAAAACTGGTTTTCGTATTGATCTAAAAATATATAAAGGTTACCTGTATACAAATATATTGGCTTGAAAAAAAACAACAGATATTATGTTACTAGTACACATTTATAAAAACTATACCAAACTATCTGATTTTATATAATATAAAAATACTTCTTGATAGGATATTATTAAAAACATTTTTTACTTTCATAGATACTTAAATTGTAAAGGGTGGAGCAGTGAAACTGGCGATTTTTTGTTTGTGTCAAACCGCAAAACAACTACTGTTTCTATGATTCGTAGCCGAGAAAATATTTTTCATGTATCATAAATTTATTGGACAATGTAATATAAATAAATGCATATAATTGCTTCATTTGGTTACAGTACTCCTAAAAATAAACAGAAACTGTTGGAATGCCTACACATTTTATAAAAGTCATATCAGATCATCTGATTTAAATATACGTTAATTTAAACTCAGTTAAGATGGTAAATATATTATAACACTACAAGTGCTAGGCTGGAGT